ATTGTAACTTGATCCCATAACTGGAACAGAAATCTCGGAATGAGGAGCAATTGAATTGAGTTCCATTATCGGCCACAATCTGATTCGGGATCCCATATCTATAGATAATCGAGCTGAAAACAAAATCTTTGACCTTCTTGGAAGTAAGACTAGATAAAGGCCGAGCTTCAACCCACTTTGTAAAATAATCCACACCAACAACCAGATGGGTTACACCACCGACCCCTTTTATGAACGGGCCTAAAAGATCCATTCCCCACTGAGCAAATGACCATGGTGCTACCAAGTTCGTGAGCTCCTCTGCTGGTTGGTGAGTCAGATGTGTAAAGAATTGACATTTCGGGCATTTTTGAACAAAGTAAGTGGCATCTTTATGCATGTTTGGCCAGTAATATCCTTGCCTTAAGACTTTGTGAGCCAGAGTCCTAGCACCAACATGACTTCCACAGACACCTTCGTGCACCTCTCGAAGTGCATATTCAGCTTCATAGAGATTCAAACACCGCAGAAGAGGAAGTGAGAAAGATCTCTTATATAGGACCCCATCAACGAGTGTATATCGAGATGCTTTCTTTCTCAACTTCATTGCCTCCTGCCTATCCTCAGGTGCTATCCCATCTTGCAAAAAGGAGATGATTGAATTAGTCCAGTTCGGCGTGTCAGGGTTTGTGCTAATCTCCATCACCCGAGGCTTCATGGAGCTTGGTTCATCTAAGATCTCGACAAAAACAGATCTGGAACTTAAAGAGCTATCAGAGGCAAACTTGGAGAGTGAATCTGCTTGTTCATTCTCAACAAGGTTTTAAAACCCGAACCGGACATAAAATCGGTTTGCCCACCGGTTCCTAGTTTGACCGGTCTGACTGGTTCAACCGACCGACTGACCGGGTCAAAGCCAAAACGCAAAAAACAGAAGCGCAGTATTTCCTGCATCATTCTGTTGCAGTTTTCTCTGTTTTTTCCTTGCAATTTGTAGCAACCACAGGTCAAAAAACTTGATAAACACATAAAAGCAAATCCAAAAACTCAATAAATACATCAAAAAAAGTATCATACAACTATAAATATTAAAATTAATAAATCTTACATATATATATATATGAAAAATAAGTCCAAAAACAAACTAATATGCAAATAATACATAAATTACAATTATTCATTGTTTATCCTCAAGATGAGGAGGGTCTTGATTAAACCAAGCATCACGTTCACGAAAATCATTTTCACTATCATAACTATCATCATTTTCTTCACCAATTGATTCCAAATCAATTCCCCCACTTGCACTACCAATATGGAATGATCCTTCTTCACCACCTTGCACTTCTTCATTAATATCATGAGTACCACCTTAAAAGTTGAAAAACAAACACATATAATAAATAAAAATCAACAAAATAAATCATAAAAAAATAGTTACCTCACATAATCAATAAGATAATTTATAGAATCACAAAATAACATAATAAATTTAAATTAAAACACTATGAAGTACAAAATGAAGAGAAACTTTGATTAGTCACTAACCTTCTTTTTGAGTTATATGACATATTGGCATTGTTTTATCATTATAGATTATATTCTCCAATTCATCATAATCAAGAATTGGAGACTCATCTTCTTCCATGACCCATTCCTCAACATTCTCTATGCTTTCATAATCAATAGGATCAAAGCAAGTCTTCCTTTTGTTATCATTCCTATTATTCAAAATAAAAAATAAAATTTTCATAACAAAAATATAAGAATATATAAAATTATAAACAATAAAAAATGAAACTTTATTAATATAGTATAAGTATTATGTAGATTGGATAAAGTACCTATGCTTCAAACGCAAATTATAATGGACATAGACAAGATCATTCAACCTTTGATGCTCCAATCTATTCCTTTTCTTGGTGTGTATTCTTTCAAATACACTCCAATTTCTTTCACACCCTGAAGAAGATGATGTTTGACTTAAGAGTTGTATTGCTAATTTTTTAAGATTTGGAGCACTATATCCAAAATATTTCCACCACTCATCTATGGAGAAAACAAAAAGAAAAAAAGTATACAAATGTTAAAAAGTTAAATATCATAAAAAATTAAATAAAAGTACTATAATCTTAAAAAAAATAAAGAGTTGAAATCTTACTGGGTTTCATAGTTTTTGAGGATTCAAGAGCACTTTCACGACCAAAACTTTCCATTTTCTTGTCATACAACTCACACTCATTCAAAAATTTAGACCTCCGAGATGGCACTTTTGCATCCACAACATCCATAAAGCCGTTCATGACCTCTTTTTTGGTTGAGAAACTCTCTTTATCATAGAAAAAAGCAAGATTTAAGTAATAGGCAGCAGCATGAAGATTTTGACGAAGTTGCCTATCCCACCTTCCCTTGATAAGTCTTGTATAAGGCTTATACAGAGACTTCCTATTCATTAGTATAGTCTTGATGGCCTTTCTAGCTCTATACATGCCATCATAGACATATCCAAGTGAAGGCCTTTCGTCACCATCCACAATTCTAAGCAACCGAATAAGTGGCCCCACAATTTTCACAACAAGCTCACAATTATTCCAAAATTTTTTATCTAAAACAACAGCCACAACATCATTTGCCTTATGATCTTTGTAGTATCTAGATTCTTTAAATTCTAGACTAGTCACCAATGCTTGTAAATCATGCCTATGCTCATGAATGCTTTTCAATGCAATGAATGTTGTAGCAAAACATGTTGGCCCAGGACGTATAATTTCTGCCCATCCTTCCCTTTTCCGAAGCCAAGCCAACAAGGAAGGATGATTGTATATAAATTTGGATACCAAAGATGCACGACTTGCAAGATTACTAACAACCTCCAACTTCCCAATATCACTCAAAATTAAATTCAAACAATGTGCAGCACAAGGAGACCAAAAGATTGTAGGATAAATGTCATTTAATAATCTCCCAGCCTTTTTATAATTTGCTGCATTATCAGTCACTAAATGCACAACATTATCAGAACCCACAAATTCAACCAATTCCCTGAACAAATTGCAAAGCATGGAAGCATCTTTAACCACATCAGAGGCATCAACAGATTTCACAAAATTAATTCCTCTAGGACAATAGACAAGAAAATTAATTAATTGCCTATTTTTTTGATCTTGCCAACCATCACCCATAATAGTACAACTAGTTTCTGCCCAAATATTCCTATAAGAATTAACCAACAGTTGGACCTCTTGTTTTAAATTATGCAATAAATTGCTTCTCATGGCATGATAGCTTGGTGCCTTATAACCAGGACCAATTGCAGCAATAGCATCAAGCATAGGTTGAAAGTAAGGGGAGTTGAAAGCATTTATGGGCAGACAACTATAAAAAAAAAACCTAGCAATGGCCAAATCAGCATTATGGAGGGCATCTTTACCTGCCAAGACACTTCTAATTGATGGTTGAGCTCCAGGAGTGGCTCTTGGGGCAAAATAATTTTCTATCCCACTTGCCTTCCTTTTTTTATTTGCTGAAATTTCTAACCCTTTCCCTTTAACTTGAGATTGTGGAGCCGTAGAAGGATTTGGAATCTCTTGCAAGTCTGGTGCATCTTCATCACAATGTCCAAATGGATTCTCTTCCCATACATTTTTTGCTTGCTTCTTACTTTCTTCAATTTCCTTCAAACTCTGTTGCATCCGATATCGAACATCGAATGGCACCTTATTACACTTCCTAACATCTCCTCCCTTTCCAGCAAGGTGTTGTTTTATTCTGTTAATGCCTCCTCCTCTAAATGCCTTTTGGCAGTGCAGACATTTAATTGATTTTTTTGTGCCTTCTACAACTTCAACACAATGCTCCCATGCTGCATCTGTGTTTGGCCCTTGAAGTTTGAGAAGATGCAGCAGTTGAATTTTGTCCAGATGATGACATATTTTTGTAATTCTACAACAAAATAAAATAAAATCATTAATGCAGCCCAATACAAAACAGATAAAGCTAGAAAAATTGTCAAATAAGTATTTAAATCCATTTCAACGGTCAAGAATCTTGGTAATTCTCATAAATAACAAAACCAAAACTTAATAATAGATTCAATCAGTTGCAGATGAACATGCAAAATACAGAAATGTATTACTAAACTAAAACAAAATTTGTTCACTCATAAACAGATTATTAATCCTCGCTGGTGAAACAGAGAACCAGCTGAAGTGATAATGAACAGGGCAGTGGATGGAAGTATGGAACATTAGGCATCTTAAAGGCATGCTTGAAATCAAAGACGGTCAGACGAGTTGTTTATGACAAAGAATTGAAACAGAAATGCAGAACATGCAAAATACCGAAACAAAATTCAAATTGAATTTCACATAAATAAATATACTCTGTAAATAAACTCAAAAATCAAAATGCAGAGCAAAACCCAATCCAAAATAAGCAATAAAAAGATAAGAAATTTACTAAACTAAAGCAACGAAATGCAGAGCAAGGTAGCAAGCTTAAAGTGATTCACTGTTCTGTACCTGAAGGGAACCGGAGAAGAAAGATTTCAGGTCGAACCGTCGAAGAGGATCCAGAGAGAGAACGACTTCGGGAGAAAGAGGAAAATCTGATGAAGAACAAAAGAAGTATGAGGATCAACTAAAGCAACGAAATGCAGAGCAAGGCAGCAATCTAAAGCCTGAAAGTGATTATGTACCTGAAGAGAACCGGAGAAGAAAAATTTTCAGGTCGAAGAGGATCCAGAGAGAGAACGACCTGGGTGAGAAGATGAAAATCTAATGTTGAACAAAAGAAGTATGAGGATCGACCGATCGAGAGGGAGAACGACCTTGGCGATGGTGACAAGATGAAGATCTGATGAAGAACAGAAGAAGTGTGATTCCGAATCTGGATGGAAGAGATAAGGAATCATTGTTTCGGGTTTCTTCTTTGCAATTTGTTTGGAATCGAAGAAAGAATTGGAGAAGGAGAACTACAGTGTAAACTGGAGTTGAGGTTGAGGGAGGAGATGAGTCGAAGAAGAACTGCAGAGCAGCAGAGGGCTTAGGGTTCTTGTCTTCTTGATCTAATTTAGTGATTTTACCAATTTGCATTCAAATTTTGTTTTTTTTAAGTATTTTACCATGTAATTGTAATGTGTAGAGGAGGGTAAAAGGGGTATCAAACAAAAAAAAGGATAAAAAATAAATATTGAATTAAAAAATGGTTGAAAAAATTGAAAAGGGCAGATTTGAATTTGGCTCGCCGGGTTTACTGGGTTTACCGAGTCTGGTGGTTCTGGCGGTTCTGGCGGGTTTGGGCGGTTGGATCGCCTCACCGGGTCTGGGTATGCATTCGGTCCGTTTTCATGACCGGGTGACGGTTCGACCGGTTCGACCAACCGGTCCGGTCCGAGTTTCAAAACACTGATTCTCAGTTCGGGGGATTTTGCTCAGACAGAATTTTTAGAATTTGCATTTCAACTCGGCCACCAAGGCCGCATATTTCACCATCACAGGATCAACAACTTCGCAGATTAAGTTGATTTGGTTTACTACCAATTGAGAGTCACTGTATACTTGAATTACGCTGATTTTAACTCTAATGCTAGCTGTAGGCCAAGTAGCAGAGCTTCATATTCAGCCATGTTATTTGTTGCATCAAAGTTGAATTTCAAAGCATGTTCACTTCGATAACCCTCTGGGCCGATTAAGAGAGCGCCCGCTCCAGAACCTTTGCTGCTAGATGCCCCGTCAACATATAAGGTCCAGTCGTTGGGCTCTGGATTAGAGGTTGAAGGACATGGGGTGCATTCGACAATGAAATCTGCTAGTGCTTGAGCTCGGATTGCCGATCTCTGCTGAAACGTTAGTTCGAACTCCCCCAATTCCACTGCCCACTTAATTAATCTTCCAGAGCATTCTGGTTTCTGCAGAATCTGCCGGAGAGGTTGATCTGTGAGAACGATAATTGGGTATGACTGGAAATATGGCCTCAACTTCCTGGCAGAAGTGACAACTGCTAATGTTGCTTTCTCAGCTATGGGATACCTCAGCTCTGCCCCGTGCAGTACACTGCTGATATAGTAGATTGGTTTATGCTGCTTGGTTTCTTCTCTTACCAGAACCGAACTAATGGCTTCATCTGAAATTCCCAGATACAAATAAAGAATTTCCCCATCGATAGCCTTAGTCAGTAGAGGTGGCAAACTAAGATAAGACTTCAGCTCGTCGAATGCAGTTTGGCACTCCTGACTCCATTCAAATTTCTTCTGTTTTCCTGATTCATCCTTCTGGGCGGCCGACCTCATAATCTTGAAGAATGGCAGGCACTTATCTGCTGACTTCGATATGAATCGATGAAGAGCTGCCACTCTTCCAGTCAATCTCTGTATATCTTTTACTGATTTCGGCGGTTCCATATCGGCAATGGCTCTGATCTTCTCTGGATTGACCTCAATCCCTTTTCGAGACACCATGAAACCTAGAAACTTTCCGGACTCCACTCCGAAGATGCATTTGGCTGGGTTCAACTGCATCCTGTTCTTTCTGAGGTTGTTGAAGGTTTCGTCGAGATCAACTAGATGGTCTTCTGCTTTCCGGCTCTTTACTACGATGTCATCGACATACACCTCCAGATTCTTGCCAATCTGAGCTCGGAAGACGATGGTCACCATTTTCTGATAAGTAGCACCAGCGTTCTTTAAGCCAAACGGCATCATGACATAGCAATAGATTTCATCGCCAGCATAGAACGAGGTTTTCTCTTCGTCTTCGGGAGCCATCGGCACCTGGTGATACCCAGAATATGCATCCAAGAGGCTTAACCTCTCATTGCCTGAAGCCGCTTCAACTAACTTGTCAATGCTCGGCATTGGATAGCAATCCTTGGGGCAGGCTTGGTTAAGATTTGTGTAATCAATGCACATTCGCCATTTACCGTTTGCCCTCTTCACCAAGACTGGGTTAGCCACCCATTCGCAGTAATCAACTTTCCTGATGAAACCAGCTTGTAGAAGTTTCTCTACCTTTTCTTTAATAACCTAAAGCCTCTCCCCCCCGAAGAGACGCCGCTTTTGGGCCACTAGTTTCTTCAATGGATTGGTGCTAAGCTTGTGTTGGAATACTGATTTCGGAATTCCTGGCATATCAGCCGAAGTCCACGCGAATACATCATTATTAGCTCGGAGAAAGGCTATTAACTCTGCTCGTTCCTCTGGGTTCAATCTAGTTCCAATCTGCGTCTTTCGGCTCGGATCTCTGTTATCAATGAGCACCTCTTCAACATCTTCGACCGGAGCAGCTCTGGTTTCATCTTCCGGGCGATTATCGACAATCTCAACGCCCATAACTTGCTGATTATCAGAAATTGGTTGGGGAATGGCCTCGGGTGTTGGATCTTTGCCCTTCATAGGTTGTGTTACGGAGGTGATATAACAATATCTAGCCACCTCCTGGTTTCCTCGCAGTGTTGCTATTCCCGTAGGAGTTGGAAACTTCATACAGAGGTGAGACTAGGAAACCACAGCTCGGATTTCAGTCAGTGTGGGTCGACCAATAACAATGTTGAAAGAGGACGCCATTTTGACTACAAGGAATCGGACTGAAGGAGTCACATAGGTCCTGCCACTCCCAAAAGCCACATGGAGGGTAAGAACTCCTTCTACCGGAACAAGCTGGTTGTTGAAGCCATAGATAGGACCATCATATTTCTACAACAATACTGGATCCAGTCCCAGACTCTCGAAACAGTGGAAGTACATGATATCTGGTGCACTCCCGGTGTCAACAAGGACACGCTGTACTTCACAGTTATTAATCATGACAGAAGTGACCAAGGGATCATTGTGGGGTGTAACAACTGTATCGAGATCAGCAGATGTGAAAGTAATGGGCTGATTTTTCCATTCGGCATCGTCAATCTTTCGCTTTTGAGCTCAGTTTTGATGTTTAATCTCTCTGACATACAGCTTTCGCTGCTTAGAGCTCAGTCCACCTGCTTCAAGGCCTCCCGTAATCATGTGTATGATTCTGGCTGGTGGTGGGAGCGGAGGTGGGGCTTGCTGATATCCCACACCTTGCCTATTTGGGGGATTGCGGACTCCTTGGGGCTGTGGCCTCTGTTCTCTGATAAACCTTGGCTGTTTAGCTCTCTGAACATACTCATTTAGCATTCCTTTCATAGCTAACCTTTCCAGTTCGGACTTTAAGCTGTTGCACTGCTCTGTAGTATGTCCGTGATCTTGATGAAAATCACAATATCTGGTGTGGTCTCGACTAGTAGCAGCAGTTTTCATTGGGCCAGGACGCCTTAAATCCATCTTAGTCTTGATCTGCATAAAAATTTGTGACCTCGGCAGATTAAAGGGAGTCCAATTAACTGGAGGTTTACTTGCAGATTATTGCGGGGGTGTTGAGTTCGTTCTTCCTAATCTCGTTGGGGATGTCAACATCGGACCTCGGTTTTGCGCCATCCTCATCCTTTTCCTGCTCGGATTGTCATCTCTCCAATCTGGGTGCTGGTTCTTAGTGGGAGGTGGGTTTTGCACCAGGGCGTACTCCTCAGCAGTTATAAATTTCAGAGACCTATCGTTCACCTCGCTAAAGGTGGTGGCAGCATGTTTGATCAAACTGTCTCTGAACCTGTCATGCTTGAGACCGGAGATTACAGCTGCAATTTCCACAGCTTGATCAAAGGAACTAACCTTTAAAACTGCATCATTGAACCTGCTCATATAGTTCTTCAGAGATTCTTCATCCCTCTATTTAACTTGCATTAGCTCAGAAGTAGTTTTCCTAATCAACCTTCTACTAGAAAACTTAGTGGCAAAGGCATATGTCATTTCTGTATAAGAGCTAATTGACCTCAAAGGTAAACTGTAATATTAAGTTCGGGCATTACCTCGGAGAGTAGAGGGGAAGATTTTGCACATTAACGCGTCAGAGGCGTTCTGAGTTTGCATGCAAGAGTAGAAAGCATGCAAATGATCATCAGGATCCTTC